GCAGGGGGCTGGGGCCGCGGGCGCGGGCTGGGGCCACGGCCACACCGGCACACTGCCTACACCTGCCACCGCTCCCGCAGGAAGCGAGCGCTCAGGAAGGTGCAGAGCGGCTGGCAACAGGGCGAGGGCGACCGCGGGAACACGACTGGCAGCGACAACACAGACACCGAGGGCTCCTAGCGTGCCAGGAACGCGGGCTGTCTCCTGCCGCGGCGCGCGTCCGTGTGCTGTGACATGTCTCCTATTCGCATTGTAGCTAACGGTGCACTGTAGAGATCCGGGGCATGCAATTAATAAAAACCTGCAAAGGAGAAAGCGCAGTAATACAGGCGGCGGCAGGGGGCGGCACGCCCGGGCCGGCGGACGGAAGCCGCGAGGGCCGCTTGGGCCCGTTGTGCCCACTTCCAAGATGGCGGGCATTGCCTCGGACGCGTTGGGCGGGCCCGGGAGAGGCGGCCCGGGTACCCCAGGCCAGCAGGCAGAATGCTGCGGAAGGCGCTGGGCCGCATGCCGGTACTACTGGGTGGCGTGCGGCCTTGGGAACACGGCCTGAGGAGACTGTGGGTCCGCCCGGCTCACCCAGAGGCCGCGGGGAGACCGAGGGCCTGGGCCTGGGGTCACGGTTGGCGGCCCTTAAGCTCCGGGCCAGAGCCCGCGGCAGGGCTGGGGCGTTTAGAGGCGGCGCACTACCAGCTCGTCTACACCTGCAAGGTGGGCACGCGGCGGGGGCGCTGCGAAGGGACACGGCCCAGGCCGGGCCTCCAGGCTGGCGCTTGAAGACGTCCCGCCAGGCCATCCGGGTGGGTGGTATTGCCTCAGGGGCGGGCCTTCCGGAGGGGAGGAGCTACCTACCTCGAGGGACGGGGCGCTCAGGTGGGCGGGTCAGTCTCGGGGCGGGGCCTTCCTGAAGGGAGGGGCCGCCCCTGGGGGCGGGGCTTTCCTGAAAGGGTGGAACTTGCTCGAGAGCAGGTCTTCCTGAGAGGGTGGGGTTGCCCTTGGGGGCGTGGCTGTATTGGGGCGCGGCCTTCTGGAGAGGGGCGGAGCTGTACTGGGGGCTGGACTGGTCCTCCGAGGGTACTTCCGGGAACCTGACCTGGCTTGCCCCAGCCAGGTCTGTGGTACTCGGTCCTCCAAGCGCATCTCGAAGCTGGCCTATCACCAGGGTGTGGTCATTGTGACCTGCCCAGGCTGCCAGAACCACCACATCATCGCTGACAACCTGGGCTGGTTCTCCGACCTGCACGGGAAGAGGTGAGGCCCTTGGCGGGATGGCGAGGGGGCCTATGGTCCTGATGACACCCTCACAGCAGCACTGGCCAGGGCTCCTGTCCACCTGCTGCCTGGTTCAGATAAGCCAGGAACAACGGCCCTTTGGTACCAGTGCCACCCCAAGCAGCAGCTGTGGACTCAGCCACCCTGGGCTACTCTCTTTCTGGGCCTTGCGGCCGCCTGGTGATCTGTGTGCGGCTCTAGTGCTCTGAGGACTGGGGTGCTGGCTCATGGCTTCTGAGCTGCATTTCCACGTGGGTGTGGGCACGGAAAGCAGCACCTGGCAGAGCTGTGGCGAAGGACCTGTGAGATTGTGTGCCGGGCTTGGGCTGGTGCTGGGCCTTGGCCCCATGGTCCGTCAGACTGCAGTGCAGACCCCTTCCTCTTCCACCCTGTGGGAAACAGGATCGGGGAGTAGGCCTTGGCTAGTGGTCCCCAGTGCTTATCTCAGTGGCCCTGGCTGACACTGCTCCTGGCTGACCCTGGCCATGGGGAGCCCTCAAGGGAGCAGTGTGTGTGGTGACCCCACCTCTCTATCTTGCAGGAACATTGAAGAGATCCTGGCAGCCCGAGGGGAGGAAGTGCACCGAGTGGCCCGCGAGGGGACCCTGGAGCTGATTGTGGAGACTGCAGGGGCTCCCGAGTCCCCTGTGGGCCCAGAAGAGGGCGACAGTGAGGATCCCACACATGCTGGTGGGACGGAGAGGAACTGATTCCTGCCTTTGTCACAGACGCTTGCTCCTCCCAGCCTCTTGGATGTGGCCTCTCCTGCTAGTAAAGCTCGCCTCTGCTTGTGCGGCTGGCTCTCTGGTCTCTGTTCTGGGGTCAGAACCACTTCCCTGGTGCCGTTGCCTGCAGCTGGGCTGCCCTCATCCAGGTGGGCAGGGGCCTGGCATGGAGTCCGATTCTGTGTGGCCTCAGGCAGGGCCCTGACCCGCCTCCCTCCCATCCCCTGCCCCCTGCACAGGGTGGGTGTGCTAGAGAGGAGCCTGAGTGGCAGAGCATCCCAAGCCTGGACCCTGGCGCGGCCTCTTGAGTGTGGTTCGTCTCCAGGCTTTGTTTGACTGGCTCTCAGGATGTTCCTGTGTTTAGGGAAGTGAGCGATTGCAGGCGTGGCTGTTTCCAGAAGTGTCCTCGCCTGTGACCTTCAGCATTAATCACCAGCCCTGTCTGGCAGGGAGGGACCTGAAAGGGGAGAGGGCGGAGGTGGCGGCTGAGCCAAGCGTGACAGGGACACAATGCACCTGTCCCCACGGGACCCAGCTAGTGATTACCAGCTCATGCCAGCCGTGGGAGGCTGCCATGGGTGCAGCGTGTGCCCTGGCTCAATTACCCCCTGTCCTACCCTTCCCTCCACTAGCAGCCTGCTATTATCTCCACCCGGAGCCTCCTGTCGCTTGTGTAGCTGTCGTGGGCCCCCGGGGCTGGCCTGCCCCTCCCGCCTCCAGCCTGCTCCACACAGAGGCCCAGGTTGCAGGGACCAGCTGGGGCTTCCAGAGGCCCTGCAGTAGGTGAGGCTGGGCCTGGGCTTCTCCATGCCTTAAGGGTCTGGCTGGCATTTGAGGTGAGCGTGCTGGCTGGACCTGGAAGTGCAGGCTAGATCCTGTGCTTATGCCAGGAACCTGAGGCCCACAGTGCAGACGTGGGTATTCAGCACATCCTTTCTGCGTTCTGGGGCCTGACCGCCCCCTACCATGTGCAGACTGTGAACGCAGGGTCCTCAGAGTCGTGTGGGGCCCTGTGTCCTGCCCGCCTCACTTGGGGCCAGCCTGTGTGTGTGCCCAGAGCCTGGCATCCCTCAGGCCAGCAAGTACCAAGCCCTCAGTCCCATGGTCCCTGCCTCCGGTGGAAACTACGGGCTACACCACTCTGCCTTCTGAGCAGGGTCCCTTGGTGCTGCGCTGCCTCTAACACTGGCGGCCTTCCCCACACCTGTGTGCGAGCCACTGCTCACCCCAGCCTCTGCGTGTCCCCACCCCCATCCAGGCATGGTGCTCTGGGTGGTGCTCCGGGTCCACAGCCTGGGTGGGCTAGGCCTGGAGGCCAGGGGGGCATGGCCCACACCGTGTCCTCTGTGATCTTCCTCCAGGATGTCTAGGAACCAGTGGGATGCAGGGGGCAGTCTATCCTCAGGGTTCCATGAGCCATCAAGGACCCTCAGTGAGGCTCTGTGGCAGTGCCACACCCTCACCACCTTGCCTGTCGTCCCTCTTGAGAGGGACGGTGGCCACCACCTGTGAGCTGCCCAGCCTCCCTGCCCCCCAGTGCCCAGCATGTCAGGCTTCTGGAGAGAGCTGTGCCTTGTGCCCCTCATAGGACATCTGACTTCCTGGGGTCAAGGTGGGCACTTGGGGTTGGGGACTTTGGGCCCAGCCCAGCACAGTGGTCACAGGCTGACCCTCCATCCAGTGGCCTCACTGCCAACACCGTCCCTCTCATCTTTGTGCCCGATTACTCGCTGGAACCCTCCAGGGTCTGCTGCCCCTCACACTGGGGAGCCCTAGCCCTGCCTCAGCCACCTGCCCCTGGGGTGACTTCTTGGGGAAGGGGGCTCAGCGCTTCTGCCTGGACTGCAGGTCAGGGGTCGCACAGGGTTGTCCCACCCCCTCCTGCAACACCATGGGGTCAGCTGAGGAAGAGGGGCATCCCTGCTGGCACATGCCATGCCCGGCCCTGAGCCTGTGCCCCAGCCTGGGCACTTGAGGCCCCATGTGGATCCTGTAGAACTGGACTCTGGGATCAAAGACCTGGCTGGGGGCCAGCAGCAGGCAGAGCTGAACCTGCTGTGAGCATCTAGCTCCTGACACCTGCCCTTGCGAAGCTAGAGCGACGGAAACAGGGGGCAGAGGCCACTAGACAACAGCATCATGCTGGGCTTGCATGGCAGTAGGCGCTTAGTATGGGCTGGGCCAGCCCTGGGGCCCCAGGAGAGCCAGCCCCCTGCCCCAGTCCCAGCAGTGGCCACAGTCGCTTGGCAAACTTTATTTTTCAGGAAAAACAAAAGCAGACGTACCTCTTGGGGGGGGCATGGATGACATGGCACACGAGAGTGAGCGATAAACACACACGTACATTCAAGTATCAGGTACCCCACCTAACACCCCAGGGTTGCCCCCTCTTAGAAGCAAGGCCCCCAGCTGACAGCATGGCTGGCCCTCTAGCCTCTCTGTGCCCCAGGGTGGGGACCTTGTGGCTGCCACATGCCCTGGGGACTAAGGGGCCGTGGGTATCCCAGAGCTGCCAGGCGTCTGGGCGAGAGTGGGCCAGCCATGGTCCCCAAAGCGGGTCCAGCCCAAATCTTGGGGTCCCTGGCTTGATGCCACAGGCTGACCCCCCTCTCGGTGGTGAGGGGTGGATGCTCATGGGGTCCCCAGGCTGGTTTGAGCCATCGCCCACGCCAGGTCGGCATGGTGCTTGCTGTCTGCTCCAGCGATGGGGGCTTGGAATTAGTGCCCTGTTTCTGTCGTGTGGACAGGGCCAGGGGCAGGACCTGCCTGCCCCACTGCCGTGCCAGGCTGCCTGTGCTGGGCCCTCTGTGCTGCCGGCCCCCTCCAGCAGCTGGGTAGGAGTAGGGTGACAGAGGGGACAGGAGCCTGGACGACACTGTCCTCCAGGGCCGGCTGGGGACAGAAGCTGCCTGTATTGCTGGCAGCCTGAGAAGTCTTCCCAGACCCCTCGTAGGGCCTGGGGAGATGGCGGGATTCACATTTGGCTGGGCACAGTGGAGCCCAGAAGGGGTCCAGACAGCACCAGGATTGGGGCCACATGCCAAGGGCCTGGCCGGAGCAGGGCAGGGCAGGGCCGGGCCGGGCCTGTGGGAAGCCTGAACGACCGAGGGAGGGGTTGCTGGAGGGGCCATGTGCCCATCGTCAGCTCTCCAGGAAGGGCTGAGGGGCTCGAAGCTGCCCTCAGCCATGGCTGCCTGGG